CCAGCAGTGACTTTTGATTTACAGTGAGCACCATCATAAGTTTTTATAGCATGTCACCAGCTTAGTCTTAGTCAATGGTGTTAATCTTGGGTGACAAGTCATGAATGATAAGCAGCTGTAACTGAAGTTTCCCCCATGACACATTTGACAGGGCCAGAAATCTTGACCTGAGATAAAATACCAGCTGCTTGTTCACTGGCTACTTTCAAACCAAACCTTGAAGCAAAAAGCATGGGAAAAAATGTAAAAAGTTCCTCAATCCATCTCATTACCACATAATAAAAATTATCTAGCAGTCATCTTGAAAGGGACAAAAAGTGTGAATTAGTTTCTTATTCAGTCTTTTCAAAGGGCTACTTTCTAGTCCATACTATTGTGAACTCTAGTCTACAATAGCTCTCCACTGACCTTGATACTTAACATTAAATGTATGGACAATAAACTTAAACATTGTGGTAATAACATTTTTGGATGGCTACCCTGGTCACTTGGACCGTAAAGAATCTGCCAGTAGGAGACCTGGGTTCTTATCCCTGGGTCAGGAAGATCCTCTGGAGAAGGAAATAGCTAACCCACTCCAGTATTCTTGGCTGGAGAATTTCATGTACGGAGGAGCCTGGCTGGCTACAGTCCATGGAGTCACAAAGTGTCAGACATGACTGAGAGACTAACATTTTAACTTTCACACTTTCTTTTCCATTGTTGTTGTTTAGGCATGCTTTACTCTTTATGACCCCATGGACTGTAGCCTGCCAGGCTCCTCTGTCCATGGGATTTCACAGGCAAGAATACTGGAATGGGTTGCAATCTCCTTCTCCAGGGGGTCTTCCTGACCAGGGATCACACATGCATCTCTTGCATTGGCAGGTGGATTCTTTGTCACTGAGCCATCAGGGAAGCCTGTGTTCTCTTCTTGTTGTGTGTGTGCCTCTTCTACAGGATTATAAGACTGAAGAACTAAAAAGAACTTTAGATTTATCTGGTCTAAAAAGCTCCTTTAAACATGAGGCAACTGGATCTCAGTAAAAGAGAAATTTTTCCAAGGACCACATTGCTATTAAACAAAAAATTTGGAATTTCAACTATGTCTTCCAACTATGTGTCAAGGTTCTTTCCATTCATCACTCCATTAGCCTGTTTTTAGGAGGATATTGAATTGATTCATGATGACTCAATCAATTAAATGAAATTGCGTTCTTTGTATCATCTTTGGCTATACTTATAAATAAATGTGCAGGCACTTCCCTGGTGGTCCAATGGTTAAGAATCTGCCTTCCAAAGCTGGGGACTTCAGTTTGATTCCTTATTGGGGAGCTAATATCCCATATGCCTCCAGGCAACAAAGACTACAAGAAAAAGCCCTCATGCTACAAAGAAAAGATCCCACAGACGGCAAGGAAGATCCTACATGCTGCAACTAAGACCCCACACAGCCAATAGTAAATAAATACATAGATATTTATTCAGGAAATACAACCTTGTGTTAACCCGAAAAACTAATACCAAATTTAAGGAAATTCAAAATGGTCAACTAGAATAGAGACTATTCCACAAAACTCTAGTAAACATAAAATAAATACTTTAGAAAACTTACCTAAGGCAAGGAGGTTAGAAGCTGTGTGGAGTTACAAAAGCAGCTATGCAGACTGACATCTAGAAAGTATCCTCTGAGAAAAGAAGAGGGACTCTAGAAAAGGCTTCTTTATTATCCAAACCGTCGATAAAAATGAAGTTTCAGGTGAGCTCTGTAGCTGGTCTCAAGTCTTAAGTTTCTTCAAAGATACCAGTGTGTCCATATAAGACCTGGATCCAAACCCAGTTAGGAGCACTTTTTAATCCCCAAACCTCTCTGTCTATTTAAAAGAATTTTCATTCATTTCTGTTGTGAGGGGATGAGCTGCTGATGCCTGCTCTGGGCCTGGCTGGTCCCCACGTGGCCATCCTGCCGACACACTTCCTTGACCAAAGGCTGAGGGGAAGTGCAGCAGATAGCCACAAATACAGAAGGACAAGTCTATAAAAAGGACAGAGACCAATTATTCTCATTAGTCAACAAGGACAGAGTAAGAGCTAATGGGGCTTCTGTTTCAACAGAGGGAGAATTTAGGTTAATTATTAGGAAAAACTTTGTAACTATTAGAACAGTTAGGACTCTGGAAACAAGATACCCAGGGAGGAAGCAAAATTACCTTCACTTAAAGGTACTCAAGATAAGATTAGCCCACTATTTATCAAGGAAGATTAAAAGATTATTAAATCAGGACCACTAAGAAGTACCAAAAAAAAAGAAAGAAAGAAAAAAATTGTGGCCTGAGAATATTACCTGGCACTTCAACTTGTGTCATTAGCATCCTAGGCAGGAAGGATAGAGCAGTAAATAACACCAACAAAAACCTCTTCTCTCACAAAGCTTATAATACACCAACGGGGTGAGGGAAGAGAAATGAATAAGCAAAATAAATGCCATTTTAAATAGTTCTAAGTACTCAATAGAAAACTAAAACTAAGTGCTCAATAGAAAGGAGGATATGAGGTGCCTGGGTAAAAGGAATGGCAATTTTAGGTAGGATTGTTAGAGAAAGACTCAATGAGAAGATGACATTTTATTGAAAATCTGAAGAAACAAAACCACCACCATGGGAATCCTGGAGTGTTCCAGGTGGAAGGAATAGCAAATAAGCCCTGAATGGAAACTGAATCAATATCTTAAAGAAAAAAACAAAGATCTCTTCCTATTTAGATTAGAGTGACTGCGGAGGAAGATGAGTACAAGATAAGTAAAAAGGGGTAACTGAATGAAGATGGAGCAGGTTACACAGGCTTCGCATTTCCTGCAGGACTTTAGCTTTCAAACTGAGTGTAGTGGGAAACAGAGAAGGGAGATGATCTCACTTTCAGTTGAACAGGGTTTAGCTCTGGCTGTTGGTTTGGGAAAGACTAAATAGGAAAAAGAATAGAGAAATTAATTAATAATCTAAGTAGCTTTTATTAGAAAGAGTATGATGACATAAATTTAGAAGCAAGTGGAGATGGTTAGATGAAGTCAACTTCTAGATTAGTCTCAAAGGTATACACAACAGGCTTTGATGAAGAGTCAAGATAATACAGGAGGTATGAAAGGAGGGAACAGAGAACAACATCATTACAGAGTAGTTCCAAAAGATACTATTAAAAGCCAGTGCAAAACAGTATACTTAAACAGCCAATAGAAGAATTCAATGGAAAGCTAAAAATTAAAAGGAGACATTGGAAAATGCACAATGATAGCTGAAAATTTTAATAATCATACTTGGTAAGTAATAAGGACTTCCCTCGTAGCTGTCAGTAAAGAATTTGACTGTAATGAAGGAATCTTCCTGCCTTGCTGGAGATTTTATTTCCATCTCTGGGTTAAGAAGATCCCAAGGAGATGGCAACCCACTCCAGTATTCTTTCCTGGCAAATCCCATGGACAGAGGAGACTGGCAGGCTACAGTCCATGGGGTTGCAAGAGTTGGACATGACTTAGCGACCAAAGCACCACCACAGTAAGTAATAAAAAAAACCTAAAATGCAGACAAAAATATTTCTAAAAATTAGCAAAAATAAAAGATATTTCTTTGTAAATGTCAATAAAATCAATAAATTCCTAGCAAGACAGATTAGGAGATACCAAAAGGAAAATAACAATATTTAAGTGACATTTTGCTAAAACACTTGATAGTTTGGGTGAGAAAAGAACCTATTGAAAAACAACCTACAAAAACTGGCATGAAAGAAAACAGAATTTTTGAATAGTCTCTTATTTTTCAAAGAAAATTAATTTTGTTAAAAATTTATACACACACACATACACAGACATGCAGAGCAGTATGTGATGAAGCAGAGTAACCTCAATGATCATATATTACTTGCGAAGTGTAAAATTGCTCAACTATTTTATTAAAAGTTATGGAAATCTTTTATAAGGTGAAATATATACCTATCTGTCATCCAGTCTTCCTGCTCCTGGATATTTTGCCAAGATAAATGAAAACATACGACCTTAAAAAAGATCTCAAGAAGAATATTCATAGCAACTTTGTTGATATTTCCCAAACAATCTAAGCAACCCAAATATTTCCCAAACAATCTAAGCAACCCAAATGTCTATCAAGAGAATTGATAAACTGTGTCATATTCATACAAAGAATACTCAGTTATTTAAAAAGTTAGCTATTGACAGATGCAAAATACGGATGAAGATCAGACTAGTAGGTGATGCAAGGGATTGACTTTGAAAGGACATGTGGGAACTTTCTGTGTTGATAAAATGTAATTTATCTCGATTGGAGTGTTGTTTACAAAGATGTATCTAGTCATCAAAAATTGTACATTCAGGATTTTCACTTTTCAATGAATATCAATTTTACCTTGAAAATGCAAGTTTAAAAATAAGTGAGTGATGCGTAAGGAGGTGGGGGAAACCTTTTCTTTTTCCAAACTGCTGTCATTTTGCAATATGATCACCCTCTTCACATTCAGAGTCTGGCCTTGAATCTAGGATTTGGGCTAAAAGTTCCCACTTTACTTTTCCTGGGGGACTTGTAAAAATAACCGCTTAGAGTCAAGTCTGCAAAGTTTGTGAGCTCCACCCTAACCTCCTTATGAGTAATAGGGGCTTCTCTATTCAGCTCTCCTTCTCTCTCTCTCTCCCCCATGACCAGGAACAAAGGACTGTCCTTCCTCTGGCTCATTGCAACCCAGCCCCAGCCTGGGATCCATAAGTTATCAATCTTGTGACTCTAAATCCTATTTATGGGTGTGTTAAAACTGCACCATCAATCAAATGGACCCCATGGGTTCCGCTTCCCGGAAGTGTGAGCTCGAATGCTCAGGGGACTACCGGTCAACCAGTATGGGGGGCCGGTGCTCCCTCAGTATGGCCCATCATAGTCTGCAAGTTCTTAGTTCAGTACGCCAGCTCCAGCTGCCCAGTACAGTTGGTGAGGAGGACATAGTATTGTGGGCGCAGTTTGTACCTCATATGATGCCTCGGCACTGAGAATCTTTCTCCTCCAGACCGCTCTGTCTCTCCGGGAAGAAACCACTGCTAGCTGGCGGTCAGTGACGTTGTTCTATTCCGCTGCTCATTGCTGCTTCGGAGTGATGCTGTGAAGCCCCACCCTGAAGTGTCGGTGTTGTAAAAGGGCAGGCTTCACTGTAGAGACGTCCCAGTCGGGGGAAGCCAAGGTGAGCTAACAGAGCATCGGGCTATGGGCTCTAACTCTGTCCCCCAGGCTGGATCTGGGGCGGACCGTGAATCCTAGGTTGGTGCTACAGACGGGAGGCCGGCAGTGTGGCCCACTGTGACGGGTCAGGGCTGGATGCTGAGCTTGGGGAGCCGGCCAAATCCATGAGGAAGCGGCTCTACCAGGGCTAGTGGGGCAACCCTTTGAGGTCGAAGCAAGTTTGGATGTGTTAAATTTCAAATGTTTATTCAATATCCATTTGCAGATGTGCAGTTCATGGCAGTTATTGATGAATGCAGTATTTGAGACATACAGCTGAAAGTTACTAGTTTAAATACTGTACTTAAAGACATGAGGCTGGTTTAAATTATCTGGGGAATTAGTATAGGTAGAGAATAGTGGAGGTCCAAAAGTAAAACTCTAAAATTTAGAGCTAATGAGACAAAGAGAAAACAGAAGTTTGAAAGTTTCTGAAAGACAGAAACAGTAGTCAGAAAGCGGGAAGCAAACCAGGTGAGTATGGGATCCTATAAGACATAAAGAACTTGCATAGATTCCAGAGAAATAGCAGTTAAAGAACTCTAGATCAACTATTAGAAGCAGGGCATATAAAATTCTTTTTTGTTTACTGTGGAAATACTTTAGCAAAAAATTTGCCTGTCTGTGCATTTCTTAGGCTATTATTAATTCAATAGAGACTGATGGAGCGATGTAATATAAGTTTACATAGGATAAAAATAAATGCTCCATACACAAAAATTTATGTTCTAATAAGAGAAACTAGGTTAACATAAATGGAAGGATATTCTACACAGAAAATTAAATATGAGTGCACATCACAAAATGAGGAATGCCAGAAGGTACTATATAAGTACAAAATAAATGGTTCAGAAAGTCAGAAATCAGAATTTCAGAGAGATTAGAGTTCACCATGCATGCGAGTTGCCAGAAAAACTTGGTAGAGCAAGTTTAGATTGAACTGGGCTATATAAAAAAGGAGTAGGTGTAAAGAGAAGAAAACAATGAGAAAGAGCCTTCAGGATAGAGAAGTGGTGAGCAAATAAAGCCCATGTGATGTACAAAAGATATTTTGGAGATGAGTACATCAGTAATAGAACATGTGAATAGAACAGAGAAAGAAGATGAGATTGGAAAAGCAAGAGCATGGCCCAGATCGCTGAGAATTTTGAATGGGCAGATAAGTATTTTCATTTTCTCCAAGAAGTATTCTCAGAGTTGTTAGACCTTGAAAGCATCAGTCATGGCTGACCCACAAGAGGGTAGGGAGACACGATTCTAGAACCATCCACCTGGCAGTGTGAAGAAAGGCTGCCAGAGGCTAAAATCCCTGCCTATTGATTTTTTATATCAATATAGGAGAGATCCCATTTTAGAACTTCATGAACCAGGTGAAAGAGGACCGCATTTCCATTACCCTGTTTTCCTAAAATAAAGGAAACAACTATTAGAATTTTTTATACCACTTTCTCCCTCCTCCTTTCACTGTAAGAAACTGAAGCACCCTCAAGTATAAATAGAGTTGCTCCATGGGAGTTTTTGTGTTATTCCTGAGCTAAGTCTTGATAGAAAAGACCTAGAAATTGAGTGCAGTGAAAAGTGCTGAATTTTGTACCATACATCCAAGAAACAGCAGTCTTGCCTCTTTCTTCCTTCTTTACCAACATCAATATTCCTCTTCAGACTAACTTCCAAATTTACATTTTATTATTGAAATCATCTTGACCATAGTCAATCTGGAATATGCCTTGTGATTTCCTTCTTTCCAGTTGGATACTTATTATCATGTGAGAAAGGACCCCCTCTACCCTGTATGTTTCACTTTCCCAAGGCTTTGTCCAGGCCTGGATACAAAGCAGCTGCTCAAAACATCTTTGTTAAATGGACAGAATTAAACTTGAGTCCAGAAAGTTCCACACAGGAGGAGGTCTTAACAAATAAAGAAGCTGAACAGCAGCTGTTGGAAGTTACAGCGTTAGCATCGATCTGAAGGTTGTTTGGAAGCTTCTTTCATTTTCTTGCTAATGGCATTAGGGGCTCTGCAGCAGATAACAGGCTCTGACATGGAGACCTTAATCCAGGCAGTCTGCAGAAGCCCTGACCTTCAAGGAGTGAAGACATTGATCAGCACAGAGAGGGTGGAGGGTCAGAGATTGAGAGTCATCGAGCCATACAGAACTGCAAAAAAAAAAAAGCAAAGTTGCTCATCCTACACCTTGGAAAGGGCCCAAGTTCAGTCCAGTCAAAGAAGAGGCATATCTGTCGGAGTTCCTTAGAAAAATGTAGACCACTATTTTGCTCTCACACTAGATAATCTCTTGAAATTTATCTAGAGGCCTAGGGTATGTTAAAATATCAGGCCACATCCACCAAGAGGAAGGTGGATTGGATTTTCTGAGATGATATCAAATCCTTCCATTCTTACCCAGTTCCTATTTCTATAGATATCAGATGAAGCTAAATAATTGAAATTTAGCTCTTTTAGGAGAAATTAGCTATGTTTCCCATTTTGAGTTCTTTACATAGGCCATATTCTCTGAATCTATTGGTCTGGTTTTCATCCTACCTATATTTCTGAATAACATCAGCTCAGAGCAGAGAGCAAGAAAGTCTATACTCTTGTAATTTGATTTGACACTTCCTCCACTACCATGTTTAGATTTCTTTGTCATTGTCTCCAATCCTTAAAAGGCTTGAAATGTTTCCCTTTTGAGTAACTAACAGACTAGACTGAAAAAATAGAGAAATTAATCCATGCGGGTGCCATTAATATATACAATTGCTGAGAAATGAAGACAGTGAAAGAAGTAGGACTCTAACATTATTGAGTGACTCTTATAGTCAAGAATCGAGTGCTTTACATATTTGCACTTATTTAATATGGTTCAAGAAGAGATACACCAAACTTCACTTTTTTCCACCAAGCAGTATTTCAGTGAATAAAGTTTGCTAAAATAGTCACAAAGGTCCATTTGTATTCTTACATGGCTTTTTCTCTCTGTCTCTGTCAGCCCTCCTCTTTTTCATACACACACACACACACACACACACACACACACACACACACACATACTAACAATCTACATTAGCTCAGATTATCAAGTTTACTAAGTGGATTCCTACTGAGGGGAAAAAAGAGGCAGTTTCAGTTATGAATTCAAAACACTATCTCATAAAAAGTACATGTGTGGAGAAGGTCTATTTTATATGTGCATCTGTGTATGTACATATATTAATTTTATAAGAAATATATAAAAATGCTCATTTTGCAAAGTGTTTAAACCACACTTGGTATACTGTGAAAACAAATATGTAAAAACCTCACTTTCATTTATAACCACCTTACTACAACTCTACTCCCACCCATGGGGGCAGACAAGGCCAGTGATATATGCACCATATGCTTATGTGCAGAGCTTAGACAGGTCTTTTCAAGAGGTTGCTCCAAGTACACTAGTGGATAGGAAGAAAGAGCAGACAAAGATGGAAATTCAAGGATTCTGAGAATTCTAAGCTTGAAATTGACCTCCTGGATTCCTATTTTGCTATTGTTGCTAAGTTAATAGAATTTATTTTATTTAACTTTTGTTATCTTGGTTTATATAGTAGGAAATGGCAACCCACTCCAATATTCTTGCCTAGAAAATTCCATGGACAGTGAAGCCTGGCGGACTACAGTTCATGAGGTCACAAAGAGTCAGGCATGACTGATTGACTGAGCACAGCTTGATTTATAACTTTTGAATATTTTTACAAATGATATATGTATCTCCATGTGTGCTTTTATTTAAGACTCTGTTCTGGAAGAAACATTCCATGCTGGGATGGGGAATAACTTCTAAGGAGAATGCAGATGCCTCACTAAGTTGAAAAGACAGATGGAAGTTCAGGAAGTCTAAGGTAGCCACAAGTTGCAGAGCAGAATTCCAAAAAGAGGAAATTATGAGAAAAATAATTTCAGAAACCTGCGTGTTTCTTCGTGAGTCATTGCTAAATAATAAAACATGCTGTACATGGTGAGCAACAAGTCACATAAGCTGACTAGATCCCAGAAGTCACACATACCAGAAAGACCCATTTAATTGTACATTTTAATGGGTAGATTTAATAGTATATTAATTATATTTTAATAAAGCTGCAAAAGCTATTTCTATTCATTTTATATATTCAAAATTTAACAATTTAAATTATAAGTTACCATTTTCAATATCGTTAAATGCCAATAACAACTTAAGTGTAAAATTGACAACATATGTCTAAGACCTGTCACTGAAAACAGTAAATATTGCTGAGAGAAATAAATAAATAGGAAGATATACCAAGTCTATGAATGGGGAAGACACTATTATTAAGATGTCAATTCTCTCCAAAAGCATTAATAGATTTAATCTATTCAAATTGTAGTCCCAACCAGCTAATGTATTGAAATTTATTATTATTCTAAAATTTACAGGGAAATACAAACATTCTGGAAAGTAAATAATATTGAAAAAATTGGGAAAGTATATTTACTTTACAAGTTTTATATAAAAGCTAGAGTAATCAAAAGACTGTGTTTTGAGATAAGAATGGACATAAAATTAAAGGGGCGGAGTATATAATCAAAAGATAGACATGCATTTACATGGACAATGATTTTATACAAAGATAATCACCAAGGCCACAGGCTAGTAACATGATAGTTACATGAACAACAGATTCTTAGTTGTATCTCAAGGGCTTTATAAACAGAAGCAATATTAGAATAAAAGTCCACAGAAGGCAGGTTGGAAAAAATGGCCTGACCATAATCCTTGTACAATCTACTAAAAT